ATAGTATAACCACACATGTGTTGCGATCCATATCATCAGCGGCAGGCTTCACTCTTTTTCACGGATTGCGGATTGTACACGGTGATGTGAATTAAAATTTGATTTTGGGAACTAGATCCCATGCCCGCCCCTGGCCTGGCCCCTTTTAATGGACAACCCTGATGCCTTCTTGAAATTGACAAGAAACTAACATGCTTGCCTCAGTATATATAGTTCAATTCGCTTAATCATCCATCGCTTGTTTTAGGTGAAATATTAATCACACAAAACTCAATCGTTAATTAATTAATTTTGTTATCATCAATTTAAGTCGTCTCCCCTAAGAATAAAGTCATGCACTAGCTAATTAATTAATTCAAACCAGCTTAATTAAATTATTTAGTTTGTAGCTAGGACTATTGAAGGCCAATATCGATGAGTTTGAGTTACGCAAGCTAGCTAATAGTAATTTGATTCAGAGAGTCAAAAGACATTTAAGGATGTGCACGTGAGCAATCAGTGATAGAGCTGGCATATATATTTATACAACACAAACTCAAACTCATTACTTATATGTATCATAGATTAGGTGTACATATATGTATTTTTTTTTCCTTTATCAGAATCAGCTGTTGTTTTTGGTCACCCAAATATTTATAAATCATCACCTACTTACAAAATCCTACCATATATCATCAATCAATCAATCAAAACAAAAAAAACAAAATTTGGCTTCTTAAAGTTTGGTCAGTTTTCCTCACTCTTACTACTTTATATTAATAAATATATATGCCTTTTGTCCTATAAGTTTTTATAAAACAGTGGACCATACTTTCCCTGTATATTCTTGCCTTTTAAGCACTCTTTTCCCTTTCTTCTTCCTCTCTACAAACCCTTCTCTTTCTCTCCCTCATCTAATTTGGATCTCTCTCTCACACAACTTCACCTACATAGTCTGAGAGAGAGCATGCCTGAATGTCCAGAGAAAGGTAAGAACAAAACAATATCTACATATGTTTCGTTTGATTATGTTTTAATTTGGTATATAGCAAGCACATCTAGCTAGCTAGCCAGGATCGATCGATCGATCGTGAGATGCATATGGAAAATGTCTACACTCTATAATATCATAAGCACTTTATTATTTCTAATTTTGTTCCGTTGCTTTGCTTTAAATACATATATGTAGGGAGAGATTTGATGAGATAGGGAAGAAGATCAAGAGAGAAGCAGATGTAGCTCCTTCTTCTCATATGGGAAGAAGACACATGTTGGGTCCTCCTGGAACCCTAAATACTATTACACCTTGTGCAGCCTGCAAGCTGTTGAGGCGCAGATGTGCACAAGAATGTCCCTTTTCTCCATACTTTTCTCCTCATGAACCCCAAAAGTTCGCTTCTGTTCACAAAGTCTTTGGTGCCAGCAACGTCTCAAAGATGCTCATGGTGAACTCCCTGATTCCAATATATTGAGTTTTCATCTTTTCTTTTCAAGATCTTTTGTAGATTGATAAGAACATGAGACTTCAACATGTACTTTGAGATCTAGTAATTAAGGATATGCTAATTAATTAGGTGATCCTAATAAGAAGTTAACCAAGTAGCTAGCAGAAAATAAATTAAAAGGGATTTTTTTTATGTTATTGATTTATGGCAGTACTAGTATATATATATGCCATAACCAATATGTTGTAATATATCATATTCAGGAGGTACCGGAAAGCCAAAGAGCGGATGCAGCAAATAGTCTGGTTTATGAGGCTAACGTGAGGCTAAGGGATCCAGTTTATGGGTGCATGGGTGCAATTTCAGCCTTACAGCAGCAAGTTCAATCTTTACAAGCTGAGTTAAATGCAGTAAGGGCGGAGATACTAAAGTACAAGTACCGGGAAGCCAATATTTTGTCCTCATCTCATGTCGCTTTGCTTTCTTCTGGGGCCGTTTCAGTTGCAGCTGTACCACCGCCACCACCCACAACACCACCAGTGCCGCCACCTATACCACCACCGCCATCACAGCCTCTTCCTTCTTCCTCCTCCTCCTCTTCCATGTACACACAGCCGACCAGTAGCACTGCAGACTACAGCACCATTTCAAACGAAAATGTTTCTTCCTACTTTGGTAACTAATTGTTAATTTCATTTCTAGAGACTAATTGTTAATTAGGATATAAATATATATCCCATTTAGTTTTCCTATTTTATATATATATGATGAATTATGCTTATTTATGAAACCAAATAAAAGATCAGATTAATATTATCTCTTGCTAATTGATGAGGGTTAGTAATTAATTTGTTCAGTACCCACTAATCGATCAGTATCATGTGCATGCATTAATTAATTAATGTCTTAGTTACTCCACAAATACATGCCTTTAGTTATATATATTAATTTGTTGGTTGATAATTTATGCTTTTTTCCTTTTTTTTTTTTTTTCACTAATTACAATCATATACTCCATAGAATTGATCCATAGCTTGTTTCCCATTTTCTCTCGTGCTCTCTGTTTTCCTTCTGAATAATAATGATGATCGATCACTAGCTTCTACCATTTGTAGAGATTGATGGCCTTTAAATATTTTTCTATCTGTATGTGTGTGTGACGTTTTAACTTATAAGTGTGTATGTGTCAACACAATGCCAACCTTTTCTCATGTTAATTAAGAAATTTGGCATATGCATGTGCATTTCTCCTATTAATGAGTTCAATTGATGATCGGCTAGAATTAGTTTATTTTTTCTGCCGCCGAGGGCAGGCGGCAATGGAGTATATATATGCATAAAGGAAAAACAGAAATGTAATTTACGATATAACAGTTAAAATATTATAATATTTAAAATAACTATATAATAAATTTAATAAAATTAAAATTTATAATATATTTTATATAGTTAATAATTATAATTAAAGATTTTAACTATTTAAATTTTAAATATCAAAACATATTAGTAATTTTTTATTATCCAATATATATTTACTACTCTACTGGGGATGGATTGATTAGTGTGAAACAGAGTGCACATGGATGATATGAGATGGTGTTGGTGCATGTTAATCTGTGCCGCGCATTTGAAAGGATATGGATACGAGATGGTTGTAGTATATGGTACTATTATTGTTACATGAATTTGAGCCAACAAAAAGTATGCTTATTGGTAATGGCCATCCCGGCCCCCTAGCAAAGTTAGTACTTTGAAACTTTCAAGAATTTGGTGATCAACCATATGTAGTATGGATGTGCAAGAATGCAACAAATTCCATTTTACCACCATAAATATATATATCTTCTTAGATTATGATCTCAAAATATTTCTGCTTAATTTCATATATATATTATTACAGTATTATATATAATTAATTATTACCAAGTTGCGAAAGGTTCATGAATATTTATTTACAATTATAGTAGCCGGGTAGCTAGAACGAATCTAGGATGTAAACACATTAACTTACGGATAAGTAATATGTATTTGGTTTAAATAAATAATTGTTTTATGGACAATGATTAATATATCATTCAGTTCAATATATTTTATAATATATTTATTAAAAAATTATTATTTTTAAATTTGAACTCAATGTGAAAAAATTTTCAACTATAAAATTTAATGACTAAATTAGTAGATGTGTTGATCTGAGCATGTACTGATCATTTTTTTTTTATAATATTTTATCAAGGTGCTTGTGTTAATTAAATATCTAAGCAAATATTGAAGGTGGTAGATGAAAACCTGCATCTGATCCAATTGTATGGTTTTCTCTATAGAATAAGTATATAAATGTATTTGTTGGAAGGTCAATATTGATCTAGTCATCCATATATATAGGTAGCTTGCATTTGTTTGCTCTATCTGGTTAGGTTTCCTTGGCGTGTTGGTGTGGGAGAAGAGGATCCATTTAGCACCTTTATCACATGTATATGTATATATACATATATATATATATATATATATTTATACCTTAATCAACTTGTAAGAACTTGAAAACTTTTTTTTTTTTGAATATTAAGGTGAGATTCGAATCTTACACCTCCAAATTTAGTTATAAAACATCTTTTATAAAGATGATATAATCACTACGCTACAAGGACATTTTTTAATATCTCAAAATTTAAACCATTGAAACATTAAAATAACAATTTTAAAAAACTCATCATTATATGTAAACAAATAAAATAAAATAAATTAATCAAAGATATATATCATGATGACTTATAATTTTAATTCTCTAATTTTCTATTATTAAGCATACCATGTATACAAAGGCATGCATATATATATGGACGTATATATTATATTATTGTATGTACATAGTAATTTATTAAGGGAAGTAGAATTTAATTAGTCCCTTTCATTCATATTCAAGTTATATATATTTAGAGTTCGTAGCTAGAGATGTGATTGAATTTGGTGTATTGTCACGGTTGCTCGATGTGGTGGCATTCTACCTTATCCATATATATATATATATATATATATGCAACTCCACTTATTCAAAATAACCAAATCAATTAAAGATACACTATATAGTATTTCTTCACTATCTCCCCAAGATGTCATCTTTGATCTCTTATAGATTTTAAGACAACAAACAAGCCATTAAAAAGTTCCATTAATTGACTGGTCCTGCCCTAATTTCTTCATTAAGAAACTTACTAGCTCATTTAGGATTTGAGTTTCATAATATGAGAGGAGCCTTCATGAATAAATGAAAGAAAGATTGTATAACTCAAAAAAAAAAAAAAAAA